GGTTGTTGTCGATGTCGGAAGAAAGGGTTGCCGAAGAGGGTTGTTGGTGATGCGGAGTGATGTCGAGGGAGCAGGGAGCAGGAGGACCAAATAGCATATATGATTTTATAATGAGGGGAGGGTAGTGGCGAGTCTAAAATAGAAAACCATGTGGTTCCTCTATCGGATGCAATCGAGCCGCTTCTAATGGTTCAACCGAGTTAGTGCAAACAGTTCACCCCATGCGGTTCATAACTGGTTCAGCTTGTAAAAAACTTAGCAGTGAAAGAATAGAGCCTATATTGATCATTCCTTCACTTTTATTTTTAAAATCAACTTATATTTGGAGTAACCTTGTCTAAACTAGGTTCCAACATGCTTATGGTGTTAAAGTGTGAAAAAGAAAACACTATTTATATTATAAAACTACCTTATCATTTTCCTTTTAGAGCTATGTGAGACTCCTTAATGCCATCAAATAAGATGTCTTTTATTATCTATAGTTTATACTTTTTTTTCTTTCTTTTTTTTGGTCAAACATATTAAAGTAATTCCTTAAAAATATTTAAGATCCAATTTTTTTTTATATATACCTAAATAAAATTAGGTTGGTCAAGTGACCCACCTTACCTCTAAGTAGACCCCCCCCCCCCCCCCCCCGGTAGGGAGGGGCGAATGTACGAAAATACCCCGATTCTACGGGATTATTTTCAGTCTGCAGGGCCCGTAGAGTGGAACTTTGCGGAACCTATGTTTATAGTCGGAAGCCTGTTTTTTGTGTCTAAATTTTGAAATTACCCCAAAAATATGTCTATAACCATTTTTTTCCCATTATGTATTGCTCTATTTTCTAAAAACATTATCCTTTCCATGATTTTCATATTATTTGTTATTATATATGTTATTATCTATTTTTAATACATTTTGTAATTGAATTAAGTTATGTTTATGCAACTCTAACATATATTTACAAATTAGTTAATAATTTAAAGAGAGAAAAGGATTACGTGGGTGTTTGACGTTTGACTTTGGAATTATGTTTGACGTCATGACACATGTAATTGGTGTTGGATTTTTGTTTGTGAATATGATGGTTTGAAGTAATCTCGTATGAACGAAATAACACATTGTTTAGTATATATACCCAAATTTAATAATTATAACATAAATTCATATTGTTTAGTATATATCCAAATTTAATAACTATAACATAAATTTTTATTTGTTTCATCTAAGTTACTGGACTTTTTATCATATATACGAACTCATTAGAAAGTAGAAACATCCCATTTAGAACACTCGTTATCATATATTGATGGTTTAAATATGGTAACATGGTAATTAAATATGGTAACATTACCACATTTTATGTATTTGACAGAATATCTAGAGTTAAGTCATATAATTACAATATATTTTTCATTAAAGGGTTTAAACGGGTGCCAACATATGAACATATATTGTCCATACTCATAACCAAAAACATTTTACTTCTTCAAAAACAAACCTAACTTAAAATTCTTTGGTACTAATATATGATATTTTAGCTACTACATATTAAGTGTAGAACCTTTTGTCTGGCTTGACAACTATATGCTTGGATTATTCATAACCATTTTTTGCCATCATCCTAATGCATTGTGAATTATTCATAACCATTTTTTGCTATCATCCTAATGCATTGTGAGTTTTAGTAAAAACTATATAAATTTCTTGTGTTGCGCTATAGTATAATTATATAGATAAAATAATAACTTTTAACAAATTATGATCAAATATTTATACATGAAAAATCAATGTTAGGAGCAACACAAACCTATAATTAATTTATATTTTTATTAAGCACAATAGTTTTAAATAATTGGTTATGTCGACCATTAATTGATGATTTTATAGACTATTTTAACTTGTGTAAATTGTATATATAAAACGTATGTTGATTTATATATATTATTAAAAAATAATTGAAAAAAAACATATTACAACTTTTAATAACATAAAAACACTACTACATCTACTATTACATTTATATCAAAAAAAATTATTAAACACACACACACACAAACATATATATATATATATATATATATATATATATATATATATATATATATATATATACACACACACATTTAATATACAAAAACACTATTATCTTAAAGAAATCTTCATTGCAATAACCATTGATGCGATAAAACTCGTTTTTGCAACTCTTCATATTTGAATAAAAAATCTCTTCAAACACATGAAATTCTTTTGTGCACAAAACTTATTTATATACTACTAATATAAGTAAAATATGTAGAAGTGAGAGGAAACAAAAATTCATTACCAACTCTAACTAATACTCATAAGTTAAAAAAAAAAAAAAAAAAAAAAAAAAAAAAAAAAAAAAAAACTATTGAGTTGTAAAGATATATTATTTTAAATTTGCGATCATAGGTACACATGAATTATACAATTTTTAAGTTGCAATCGAAGTTTTAAATAAATGAGGTTCAAATGTTTTGAATTCTATTATAATAGATATATAAATATTAAAAATCAATATTCTTGAATGATTAACTCTTTATATATACAGTCATTAAAGTTTTTTAATGTAAGTATTAATAAACATTTAGCGTAAGACAAAGAATTTGATATTATTGTGACATCTAAAATACAAAATATAAAATTAGTTATTAATTATCAGGGAATGAATCATGCCATAAGATTTTATGCAAGTTGTTCATCTACAAACCAAAACAAAACTTATTAATAACTAACTTAAATACACGAATCTTGACAAATTGAATAATAGTAATAATAAAAAAAGCGTATTACAACATAACTAGACAATTCGCTAAGGTTTTTAGCTTCATATGCTTCTATGATTACAATTACATGTATAGGTACAAGCAATAAGGACAAGAAAGTAGGTTAGGGACATTAAGAAGATTTTTTTATTTTTTTTTATTTGAAACATCAAACTATCCTATTCCTAAACACCACCTAATCTAATCCTAAACACTACTTAAGTCTCCTAGTGAGACTTGAACCCATGACCTCTCATTTGAGAGAGTAGACTTTATTGTTTTGGATGTAGTAACACTTGAACGATGCCATTTATAGTTTGGTTGTATTATAGCATGTTTATATGTACTCGGATATCCTTTTACTAATATGAAAGTACATCTTTTATGCAAATATTGTTTTGAAAAAAAAATGAGTGTACCTTATATTAAAACTGAGGTGTTTCGATTCAAGTAGAAAAATTGTGGTGTATCTAGCCTTAGTACGAGAAACTAGTTGGATAAGTAACTTCTTGAGCTTCACGTTCCTATTCAACATACTACTATAGTTTAATGTGGCAATATCTTAATCGCCTGTTACACTGAAAATTCGATTAAACAACAACACACAAAACACATATAAATTGATGTCCATTTCATTCGTCAAAAAGTTCATATCGGAGCAACATGTGTCTTTTTTTTTTTTTTTTTTTGGACAGTTTGGTGGACAGTATGCCATAACACCCAACGAATTTGGGTTCAATCCCTCCCCGAAGAGATAATAACATCCTTAGCAACCTAGTTTTCCATTAAGGAGCTTCACAGCTTTGGACACGGATAGAACTCGATATCATTTTTCCAGAAACTCTTGAAGTGGACCTCATTGAAATGTCTTTCATGTCTTTGCTGAAGACCATTATGAAAACATTTTCACTAAAGAACTTCCATGTCATCTTTTTGATCCATTCCGAACTTGTGTTTTTGCAGTATTAGATAGATACTATTTTCGTGATTATTGAAAATTGTATATATTTGGTACCCTTATTCAATAAAAGATCAATGGAGTAATTGGGAATTTACAACAACTTAAAGACCATCGTTTCAAATCCTTTATTTCAAAGATTTCTATTTTCTAACCATGTGATGGTTTGAAGGAGTGGTATCCACATAGTTGGACAATCTGTAGGATGGCCTATATAACTCTAGTTAATGGATTTACGAATTTACAGTTTCGTGGTTCAAATTTCAAATCTAATTTAATATATATAGTTAAAGTCAAAACTCCATTATAAAACAAACCCATTAGCCTAATACCAACAAATAGTAAGCTTTGAATAGTAAAACTTATTTGCCGTATATATTTGTTCTTGAATCTTCCTGCCATAACATCAAGCAACACTTCTGGAACTTCTAACGGAAATTAAGCAAATAATTAGTCTTCACGCTTCTTGTGACAATAAGACGATAAAAATTATTATTATAACATTAAAAGTTTATGATTTCGCCATTTCGGGTGCTAAAACTAATTTGGATTTATTATTTATACTTTGTATTGAACATGAACTTAATCATCCAATTAAACTCTTGTCGGTTCTTTATGCCATTAAATACATATACTAAACAAATAAATATTTCTCTAAATAAATAACAATAAATGGTGTATATCCAACAACCGAATCCAGTACTTTAATCAGAGTTCTAATTTAATATTGTTATGTAGATGGTGGCTACTAAGGAATGAGGAAACGAGTAAACCAAGATTCAGTTTTAGAAATATAATACGTCTAGATAAGATGACATAATCTCTTACTTAGAAACACTCGGAGACAACGAGGAACACACTTCATTCCTTCAATCGTTATCATTTATTACTTCGATCAAAAACATAATTTCTTTTATTTTAGTGCTCACATAATATAACATTTTTTTTTTGGTTCAGTTCTAAAACTCAGTATTTATTGCACTTTGTTTAATAGTTTATATAAATAAATAAAATACTTTGTAATAAAGTATAATGCAAATTACGTACTATTGTGAGTTGTGACACGGTGGGAGCAATATCTAAACTTCTAGAGAAAAGAAGTGTAGACACGCAAAAGTCACGCTCGGAGAAAAGAGAAAATAATTTAAAATTTAAAAAGAATATCTCATCTCATCTAGTATAAAACCCTTGCTTTCATTTTCTTTATTTTCATGCTCATTACTCAAACAAACAAACAGAATTTATATATTGGATTTTGCTTCCTTAGAATGCAACAGGCTGATTCAGAATCACTTGTTTTGGTCTGCGGTGGAGGAGATGGCGGTGGTGATCGGAAGATTGCTTGCGAGACGTTGGCGGATGGACGTGGATACGCGCCGGAAGATCTGGATATTCCACACAGCACGGTAGTTGAAGTTACGCCGGATTTTCCGCCGGAATCGTTCTGGCTATCGAAGGACGCCGAATTCGACTGGTTTGATCGGAATGCTTTTTTAGAACGGAAGGAATCTACTAAAGGAAACTCGAATTCAATGAATTTGAATCCGAATGTGAACCCTAGCCACTCGAATTCGAACTCGCAGAGGTATTCAATGACTTTGAAATCAAAACCTGCGATTATTGGATTACCGAAGACGCAGAAGATGACTTACGTTGAATCCAAGCGTAGGCAGTGTAAACCGGCTAACATACGGCTATTTCCGAAGCGGTCGAATTCCGTCGGAAAGGCTCCAACGACGGTTCTGGTGACGGAGCCGTCTTCGCCGAAGGTTTCGTGTATTGGGAGAGTTAGATCGAGGAGGTGCCGCAGCCGTAGGAGGTCATCTGCACAAGCGAATCAACCGGAGAAGTCTGCTAGTCAACGATCAGGAACAAGTAGACCACACAAAGCTGGCTTTATGTCTCGTATAACGTCGTTATTCCGTTCTGAAGGTCACCGCCGGAAGAAAAACGGTAAATCCTCAGAAAAACTCAAAGAACCTGCAGAAAATTCCGTTTCAAGAAAGATTTACGTGACTGTGAAGCCCGTTAAGAGCGAACCGGAGACGCCTTCTGCACCGCCTGCTTTAGGAGGTATGATGCGGTTTGCGTCAGGGCGGAGAACGGCGTCGTGGGGAGGTTCCGATGATGATGATGAGGTGGCTGCGCGTCATTCGTTGGATTCAGGACGCCGTGGACTATAGGTTAACTGGTGGGCCCACAGTTGAAGTTTGGTAAACTGACGTGGATTGTTCATCAGAATTTCTGTGTGATGGAAACAGTCAAAGATACTATCGGATGTTTTTATATTCGTTTTCTTTTTTTCTTTTTTCTTTTTCTATTTATTTTCTGTTTTTATTCATAGAGCTTATTTTTGTAAATATTTCTGGATTTAGTAAATTTTGTCTGTAGATGGCCATCACAACATTGTAAAAAATGGCCTATTTGTCAATGTTTTAGTCTTCTGCTTTCAACTTTTCATATTCATTTTTTGAAAAAAAAAAAAAAAAACAAAAAAAAACAAAACAAAAAACAAATTTGAACTTAAGGATACACACTCTGGTCCATATGGGGGGTTTCCGGCGACCAGTGGTCCCTCGACTCCTCCATGGTATATAGGACGAACAACAAACCATAAGGACCATCACGAACCACAAACCATTGTTGGTGTACTGGTGACGACCATGAACACAAATGAGAGAAGGAAAGAAAAGAGAGAGAAGAAGAAGAAGAACGTTGACGCCTAAGAGAAGAAGAAGCTGATTGGTTGTGGTCTTCCGTTCTCCCCACCACTAATTACCACGACAATGCCCAACCACAAATCGGCGGGATGGTGTGCACAGTCGTGGTCTGTAGCCACGTCGACAACAAACATGTTCGTTGAAGGTATTGCAGATAGTCTAACGGGTTAGGGAGGGTGAGACTTGATGGTTTCATCTTGTACCACATGCTTCAGTTTATACAATAGGATTTTAACTATCATTTTAAAATTTTAATCATCGTTTTAGGAGCTCGATTAACCATTTCAGTTATCAATTAACAATTTCAATTATTGCTTTAGTAAATGTTTTAATATTTTTTTTTAAACAAAAGTGAGAGGGTTGTGAATGTTAAGAAAGATAAGTTCATTGTGTAGTGAGTTGTGAAATATGAAAAAAAAAATGTAGGTTAAGAAAGATAAGTTCATTGTGTAGTGGGTTAGAAAATATGAAAAAAAAAAAAAAAAAAAAGGTTCAAAAAAAAAACGATGTGAACTTTATTTAGCAAAAGGATTAAGAGAGTTGGAAAAGAATGATTTCCTCCACCCTAATATTAGTGTCTAATGTAATCGGATGATTTTCTAAAACTAAGATGGTTTACAAACTTTATAAGCAATAAGAATAAATTGCACAAATTGTAAATGACGTTGTATTTACAAAATTAAAAATCCAATCCTTTACACCATTTTTCGCATTCATTTGTCAAAATACAAAAAATCTAATTATTTATGCTCTACGTGTTCACCAAAAACCTTCAAAGATGAAGTGACTATCACTAGTACACAAATAAATTAAAGATTTTTTTTGAATGCTTCGTCAGAATAAAACCAAAGGTGTTCATTCAAAGTTCATGTGGCATTGAAATTTTTTAATCTTAGTAAGAGTTTCCTAGAACCCTAAAAATTGAATTCAAGACAAACTTTTGTAACACACCGTTTTCATTTTATAATAAAATTTAATATAACTGTTTGTTTAGAAAATTCAAAGTGGAAATATATTAATTTTTAACCAAAATAATCATCATAAACATGTAGTAGACGTTAATTCAGTTTTCATAGATATAAAAAGATGTTTAAATCTGACTTCAAATGAATAACTTATGATTTTTCGAAATTTTGCATTCACTCTATACGACAAAGTGTGTCTAATAAGTGAATCGGAGATTAGTTGCTTATTAGCCTAAGTAATCTAAACAAAAGTCATAGTAATCGTAAAAGCAAAATCATGCATATGAAAGACGTCAAAATCTAATTTTGTATGAGAAAGTTGTGATTTTTCGAAGTTTCAATGTGACACAGTACAATTGTGTGCGATACAAAATTCAAAATTTAGATCGGCTGATTGTTAACAAAACAATGTAAACGAGAGTTAAGGATTTCGTAAATACAAACATGCCGATATAGAGATAGTCAAGAACGAAGTTTGTATGAAGAAGTTATGATTTTCGCACGGACTTTAACAGTCTAATCTCTATAAAAATATGAATTTAAAATAAAACGAGAATTAGTTGTTGAGGTCTAAAGGAAAGTTGTAGTAATCAAAATTACTTACGCGTAGATATAAATGACCTTGAAATGGAGCTCATATGCGAAAGCTATTGCTTTTCGTAGATTTCAAGAAAACACTTGACATGATGACATGGTGACCCGAGAGCACATCGTGCCATGTGGCAAGACGGTGGTCGAGTCTTCCGAATGACACAATTGTTGGAATAGTGTCTAAGACTGTAACTATATTCGGTTGTGCATGGTCCTTTTGGGTTGCCTTCACCATAGCAACTTGATGGATGATTTGTTAAAAGAGAGTAAATATTATAAAGGAATAATATTTGGTTATTTGATTAATGTAAGTCATGAATTAATTAGAATTAATTTGGTGACTTAAAGAGATTAATTAAATAAGAGGGTATAAACTGTCAATTGTTTGATAGTTACACTTTAGACTATAAATCCTTATCCTAGATAGGATGGACGATTTCTAGGGCTTGGATAAGCCAAAATCGTCCATAGGGTTATCTATGGAATGGATTTGGATAGCCTTAAGAGAAGATTATCCAATTAGGGTTTAGGTTGAAACCCTTAAGGAGTCTACAAGTATAAATAGACCCTAGGGGTGAGGGAATTCGACACACCATCTAAAGTAAGAGAACTCTGGCCGAATTCCTCCCCTCTCCTCTCTCCTAAATCATCTTGCTTGCTATTGGTGTTTGTAAGCCATTATAGGAGTGACATTTGTGACTCTAGAAGCTCCAAGACAAACAAGATCAACAAGGAACTCAAAGTTATGATTCTAGATCTGTTTCAATATTGTTATTTGACCTAATTAGCCATTAGAAGTCTTGGATTCAAAGCATGTTTAATTAGAAAGCCTAGATCCGAGCATTAGGGTTTTGCATGCGCACATAGGAAAGTTCTTATGGTTAAAACCCATCAGTGGTATCAGAGCCTAGCTTGGTTTTCTTTAAATTGTTGCTTGTTTAACTGAAACAAACCTGCAAAATTCGATTTTTGGGTTTATGAGTCACTGACTCGGCGAGTTCCAAGGTGGACTCGGCGAGTAGGCCTGACTCGGCGAGTCCCCTTGTGCACTCGGCGAGTCCAGGCGTCAGGAATGGCCAGATTCGGGATTTTTTCATGTTTATCTTATGGAAACTTACCTTAATCATAATAGATCAATCTAAATCCGATTTTTTGATATATATGACTATTATCTTGATCTAATTAAAGATAATTATCATCTAATAAAATATTTAATTTCCTTATATGATAATTGATTAATTATTTTGATAATTATCTTCAAAGAAATCTTAGATAAATCAAATAAAGATAATTAGGATATTAATTGTTAATTGGAATTATTTGTTATTTGATCCTCCATGTTTTAAATGTTTAAAACTTACCCTCAAGTTTTGAAATTTATATTTGTGATTAAAAGTTTTAATTTAGACAACTTAAATTTCAAAACCCTATGTTTTAAAAAGTTTAAAACACAACCTTATACTAATATGATATTACTAGAATAATATATATGTATAACTAAATGCTAGTCTTACCGCTAGTAGGCCTCATTCACGAAGCCGATCTATAAGGTGGGTATAAGGTTGCGGCCTATAAAATGGCGCTTAATGGGTGTACACTCACACCCACCGCTTGCTTGATTGGTGGAGGGTCGTTAGCCGAACGGGTAGGATAGGGCAACCTCATCCTCTCATTAAAAGTATAATAAGAAATACAAAGTAACTACACGTTTTAAAAATTTCTCAATCTTAGTTACTTTAGGAAAAGTGAATTGATGCAATCCCATGAAATTACACTTTGCACCTTGCTAAGAAGTTAGTGGAGCGTGTGTGGTTTACCGGCACACTAATTGGTTCTAAGCGAAGGTGGCAAAGGGTGATTCATTGTTTATCATAGTTCGATGGAGCGTGTGTGGTTTACCGGCACATCGAATAGGTGATCGTTACAATGAAGGCACCGTGTGAATTTGCATGGTAATTCACACCCGCTTTGTGATCCTCGGCATCCCAGTCACAAACAAGAGGGGCATATCGAGATTTAAACATGCCATTGAATAGTTCAATGAATCTCATCCGAACCTAGGAATTCTTAAAAACACTTAGGACTAATAGTTTAAGTTTTGTAATGGAGAATTAGTGAATCGTCATTCACTTACCTTCAATTTATTTGCATGTTAGATTACGGCATCTCTTTTCTAGTATGTAAATGTTATTGTTGGATCCTAGCCCTAATTTTTCTTATTGGGTGATAATTAGGGATTCTTATTCTAATCTATCTTTGTCCTTTTTCTAATTGAAGATGTCAAACGCAAACAACGCTGCTGCTAGTTCTTTCACGTTGATGAGCCTTTGCCAAAAGGTTACCTTCGATGGAACGAACTTTAGCGAATGGATAAGATACATTCGCACCATTGCTCGATATGAGGATAAAGAGTATGTCCTCGATGAGAAGCTCGAGAAAATAAACCCCGAAGTTGCTACTCCCGCCGAAATCACCGCCTTTGAAACTCATGAGCGAGATGCGACGAAGGTACATTGCATCATGATCGCCACCATGAACTCCGAATTCCAAAAGTCCTACGAGGACATGTATCCATACGAGATGCATCAAGACTTGTTAGAGAGATATCACCAAAACGCGAGACAAGAGCGTTATGAGATTTTCACTAACATGATCTCCGCTAAGATGGGTCATGGAGAATCTCTTACCGTGCACCTGCAAAAGATGCAAAGGTATGTCGACCACCTTCGCAAGTTAAATGTTGACTTTGGTGAAGACTTGGCGATCGACATGGTGCTTCACTCTTTGCCTCCGATGTACAACCAATTTAGGATGACCTACCACATGAACAAAGAGGAGATCACCCTAAGCAAACTCCAAGGTCTCTTGAGGGTCGCTGAGAGCAACTTCAAGGACAAGTCTGTTGCA